ACTGATCTTGCGCGCGGGCAAATAAATTGACGATGAATTGTATATCCTTTCGTTTTCTCTTCTCAACGAGGAAGCCAACAAACGTGGCGCATATCTCGCGAATAGGACTCGGTGTTCCCTTGGGAAGATTGAGAAGCGTCAGATAGCCCGTCGAATCAGCCTTTGCCACGAACAAAGTAGTCGATCGAGCAGTCGTATAGATAAAGACCTCGAGACCCAGCACTAAAACCTGCTTGCCGTCTGCATCGATTGAAACGGCGAGGAAATGGTTTTCGCAGTACGTCCGCTCTGGTCGTTCGTTTGGCGGTGGGGAGTAGAGAGGGTCGGTCTTAGTAGGGGGTGTTGAAATATGAAGGATCGTAAAGTCGTGGCCTTTTGGGAGTACAGAGGCCAGACGTGATTTTAGGCCGTTGTCTGTCATGATGGTTGCTGATGGAAGTTGAAGCTGGGATTGATTGTTTGGTATAAGTTGGGGTGGTCGCTAGGGCAGCGGTGGGGCGTTGATCTACAGGGGGTTGAACAGGGGTCCAGTGGGGTCTGTGATACCTGCCAGGTCCCGACTGTTGTCCATGGATCTGGGATTATTCAGCCTAGGGACCTCCATCCTAAACGACAAGACTTAGGATACCTTATATCAAGGTCTGATGCTCTCCTGTCCCCTGAGATCAGCTTAGACCTGTCTTACAAGGACTTTCAAGGACTTTAAAGTGATTGTCGTAACTACAGAAACTATCACAATTCGTTCATCAATCGCTTAAACGCTCGCACTCAAATCTTGCACCAACTCTGAAGGCTTCGGATGGTCACTCCTCCAACTGCCAACAGCCATAGCAACATATAAAAGATTCCATCTCGGACCATCAGGAAAACAGACAAATTCAGCAATCATCATCTCGACCAAAGGCTTATACTTGATCAGAACCTCCTCCGACCCTCTCCCCTCCACGAGAGCCTGCAACTCGTCAATCTCAGCTGGTTCCAGATACTTGCGCAGATGGTTCTCAACTTCCCCTGGAGTCTTCCACCATTCGGGCCCCTGTCCTTTCTCGACTAGTTCCTGTTCCATTTTCCGTCGTAGATCAGGCAGCACTGACTTCCATACCATTTCGGTTCCTGCGCGTGGAAGATCGATGAAGCCTTTGTGCTTGTACTCTAGTCGAGCCAGAGCGAGTGAAAGCAGGAATCTTCGGTCGTTCAGGTGCTTTGAGTGGTTGAACAATCGGTCCATGGGGTTTTGGGCTGGGGGTCCAGGTTTACCAATCATGTTGAGCTTGTATGTCTCCCATAGCGACACCGTATTTCTTGTGCAGGCCCAGTACAGCGTTCCTGCAAATGTGTAGAGCCCGTCGCCGAGATATTTGCCTGCATCTGATGGCGCTTCAAATATACGTGCCAATCTGTCCGTGTTAGTCCAGAGTTGCTGCTCTAGACTTAGACGAGGAGGCGCGGTGTTTTGTCCAAGCGATTGGGCATGAATCATGATATCCGACGACAACAGCCCTGAAAGATATGATAACCTCTCAGCTGAAATTGGATCAGTATCTATTGCACCAGAAGTTGTCAAGGCTCGGCTTTCGCTCTCTTCTCCAAGAGTTTCTCTCGCTTCAGCTAACGCCGCCTCGAGTTCCTGGTCCTTTCCGCCACGCTTCAGCGCGACCTTCTCAACTCTTCTCAGAGCATTTCTCAACCTTTGATTCTCATCTTTGAGGGTGTTGAACTTTGAGGCATGTCTTTTGCGATACTCGCGCTGTGCAACTCTGCTGCGCTCCCGCTTTGGCTGTCCATGCATGTTAGGTGGTGTTTTGTAACAAAAGTTTCTGCTTGGTAATTGTGAGATCCACATACATCAGAATTATCTCCATTGCCCGGAGGTGACATTTCAACAGCATGGGGAGTGTGATGACGATGTTGGAGGAATAACGTTGCTGACTTACCAAGGGAGGATTGATAACGTTATGAGGCGTTATGGTGGCTGGTGGGGTAGTCATGTAGCAAGGGTGAGGCGTCAGCGCATGAATAATGAGTAACGCAACTCAACGTTGAACTCACGATGCTCAGCGAAGGATTCACAAGGATGAGAATAGTTAAGATATGTATATAGAGAAGAATAAAGTAGGATATGAGCAATACAATCGCTGTCATTCAAACTCAGTTCATTCACTACTCATTCACTGTTCATTCACTGTTCATTCACTGTTCATTCACCACTCACTCACAAATCTCACCCCCAAATAGTGTCACAAATGGCATCTCCAGTCAAGACCCTCCACAAGACTTCATACCCGTCCATCTCTTCTCTTCGTCCTGAACTCTCCACCAAAGGAAAGAATGCTGTAATCACAGGCGGTGGCTCTGGTATCGGGGCCAGCATTGCCAGGTCATTTGCCAAATCAGGCATCACCAACCTGGCTCTTCTTGGCCGAACAGAAAAGACACTCCTCGAAAACAAAGCCTACATCGAGGGAAAATACCCTGAAACTAGAGTCTGGATTTATACAGTCAACATTGTTGACGCTGACTCTACCCGGTCTGTCCTCGAAGCTTACACCGCTGCAATCAGTGGAAAGATTGATATTCTCATCGCAAACGCTGGGTACATGCCCAAGACCGAGCATGTGACCGTGGCAGATCCTGTCGATTGGTGGCTCACCTTTGAGATCAACATCAAAGGAAACTTTAACCTCTTGCGTGCCTTCGACCCCCTCGCCACCCCCGGAGCCACAGTCATCCACGTATCCACAAGCGCAATGTACACAGAGTTCATGCCCGGGTTCTCAGCCTATCGCGGTTCAAAGCTTGGAGCTTATAAAGTGTTTGAATGGTACGCCAATGAGAACCGTGACAAGGTCGTTATACAGTTTCACCCCGGGCTCATCATGGACACGGCCATCACTCGACCTCTTGTGGATGTCGTCAAGGAATATGGACTTGTTCCGGAGGATGTGTCACTTCCGAGCGACTTTACTGTTTGGGCTGCGAGTGATGAGGCCAAGTTTCTGAGTGGGAGGTTTGTGGAGTGTACGTGGGATGTCGAGGAGCTCAAGGCGGCGAAGGATAAGATTGAGGAGTCATGGGAAAAGTTTACTGTTAGGTTGGTGGACTAAACCCTCCGATATGTCAACCTTTGCTTTAGTGTCACGAGAGCGCAACGGGATCCAATCGACTGCAAGGTTCTATTTTGAATTTAGCTCTCATGAAAATAAGCTCAAGGCACCGGGTCGCCAGATGTGGTAGAGAAGTTCAGGTAGGGACGTATTTCTATCGCTGCTTTTCCGTCCTTTTCACTCATCAATTCAAACAATCTTCATCTACCAGTGACCAAGAGCTCTCGAAATCAACAGAATAACGAAAAATACTATTTCGAATCTATATTGTCTACTCTGTCAAAGAACCATGGCTCCTGTACAAGACGACGCCACAGGCCACTCAACGACCATGCAAACACACCCTCTATTGATCACCATGGACAAGAGTTCTTATGTCAGAAGGTCTCCGCAAGATGACCCCAAGGATCTATATGGATTGTTTCGCGAACTCTCATTGGAGAGAACTATTGATCCAGGCAAGATGCAACGACACATCTTGGACAGCATCTATCGCCTTGTCCACGGCTCCAACAACATCGAAGGCGTCAGTTTCAGCTTCAACACTACAGTCGAGCTTTGCCGCACCATTTTTGAAGGCCCCATCAGTGATCCATTTGACCTCCTAGTTCTCGACGTGGAAATCTATCGAGAGTTGGGCCAGCATCTCAAGGCAGCTCAATATCTCATTTGCCAAACCACCAAGAGCGATCTGTCCGAGGATATCATCAAGGAAGCGCATCGCATCTTGACAAATGAGTTCAATCAGACTAAAGGTACATATGATACCGAGTACAGCGGCAAATACCGCACATCTCCTCTACAAGCAACATCCCATCCCTACATGGACCCCAACAGTATTCACGCTGCGATGGACAAGATGATGGCCAGCTACCGAGATGATATCCGGGCTGCTGGAATAAAAGGAGAAGTTGATCCTGTGGCGCTTGCAGCAAAATACAGTCACATTTTCTTCAGTATTCACCCATTTCATACCGCCAACGGCCAGATGAGTCGTCTTATACTCAACGCCATACTCTTCAAGTGGGCGGGATGTCTCGCTCCTTTTGGTCAAGATGAGGAGGAGTGTGCAGAGTATCTTTCCATTGTTGTTGAAGCGATGGATCTGGAAACCTGTGATGCTGAGAGTTGTCGTGGAGTGACCGATGGCTGTAGAACGAAGCTTTATAAAAAGCTGGCTTCCTATATCTTGAAGCATGCGGCGGCGGGTATGTTGCCGGTTTGCGAGCCTCTGCAATTGGATGGGTGATGCCACCTATTGTCAGTCCTTTTTGTGTATGGGATACCTTTTATAAATTCGAGAAGATTTAGGACAGTTTAGATGGAATGGTTTCCAGGAAAGGGGTCATGGATGTGACTTGGCATGAGCATCAACAAACACATCCCTCCAGTCTCGACCCTCACCATTTACATTTCCGGACCCCTTCAGTTCCAGACACTATCAGAGCTCGCAGACTCATATGTAAGACGCCATCACGCCTTGCTTTCGAACCAATCCACCACTCTGCCTCTGACACTGCCAACACCTGCCTACCACCACGCCAACACTCCAACCATACTTACCACCCCCCCACCATAGCTTTATGTGTCAGAGACGCTGAACCCCTATGACCAGAAGTGGCGGAAGCTCGCTTTGGCCTAACGGTTTAACAAAGCGTGTACGACCGATCTCTCGCCGCTTTCCGGGACAGTTCGTGGGATCGAATCCGGTCTCCATACTGCCTGGAAAGCTTGAGTTGCAGGATGGGAACACCAGCAAGATAGAAAAAGGAAAAGACAAATAAAGATGGAGTGGGATAAGTGGTGACCGGGGCCTGCAACTCCGAGATTGATATTTTTGCATTGCATGCTAATGTCTGACGGTAAAGATTAATGCCAGTAGTGGTTTCTATATGCCTATTGTTGACGCTTCCCTTTATTTCTTTTTCTGTTCTTGTTTCTGTTTCTGTTGTTCTTTTTCTTTTTTCCTTGTTCCTTTTTTCCTTGTTCTTTTTTTCCTCTTTCCTCTCCCTCCTCCTCCCCTCTCTGTCTCTCTTCCTCTTCTTCTTCTTTTTCTTCTTCTTCTTTCTGTTCTTTTTTCTCTATATCTACCTTCTCATCTGTCTGCTTACTATTATCTACCTCTTCATCCTCTTGGTCCTCCTCATACTCTTTGTCCTTATGTGTCTCCTTATTTTCCTGTTCCTTACCCCCTTTTGTCATCTCTGATAATCTAGGTCTCTCTGGATCCTGAAGCCAGGCAGCACAAACTTCCATGGGACTCTCAGCCGTCTTGACATGGTAATCATATCCATGCATATGCCCACGGCACAGGAGCATAGGCTGAGCGACAAAATCGACGGGTTCTCCCTCCCTGTCGCTGCCTTCAATTTCGTCCATAGCTTGTCCCTCAATACCTTCAAGCTCGGGCTCGTAGAGAAAACCACAAGGTTGATGAGTCGTGGGGTGATGAAAGACGATGGAAAAGAAGGTCAGGTTGGCGTCAAAGTAAAACTCTGTAGTGACCACTGCATCTTCAAGAAGTTCTAGCATAATTGGGTGTGTGCCATCACGCTTCTCTGGGAAGTATTGGCCGAGTGCTTTGGAAAGTATTGGGACAACGCAGGCTGGGTCAATCCTTCGATGCTTCTTTGGTGAGTCTTCAAGTGCCATATAGAACTCCATCGTGGTATGTCTCCAGTGCGGAAACTTGTAGGACGCAATCTTGTTATCATATGGGAAGTTATGTTCTATTGGTCACGTTAGTGCTGTGTCACTCCAGGAGCTGGGGGATCTCATTCATCTCATACTTCGTACCTTGTAAGTAGCGCTCCAGGGCTGCCTGAGTCTCCCAGTATGGAGAGGTCCAGATGATATCCTTGCTCTTCTTGGAAAAGAAGTTCTCATCTATGATCTCCCAGATCCATCGCTGAAATACAAGCCGGGGCATACCGTATACATCAAAAAGCTCTTCAACGTTAGGGGCAAAGCTAATGAACTTTTGCTGGACAGACTCGTCGAGGCTGTCCCAGGTGATGCCCCGAAGGTCCATTTCGAGTACAAGAGACACAATACTGCCGGAGAGTCTTTTCCAGTGGCGTACTGCATTGGAGGCGTAGCCATCAAGAGCCAACATCCGATGAAGATATTCTTTGCTCTCGGTAAATTTTCTCACACTTTCCCCAAGTTCTTCTTCTTGCTTCTCAAACCACTGTTCTCCCTCCTCGGCCTTGATATATTTAGTCTTGATACTGACAGGCAACATCGATGTGGACGAGGACATACCCGACGAACAGCTGGATCAATCACTCGAGTCTCTTCCTTTTGGGTAATGTCTTTTGGAGCATCGCTGTCTGGGTGTTCTTCAGGAGCATGTCCTTCTAGAATTCCGCTTTGGCTCCCAGAAGTCTTTCTTCTGTTATCAGTATGGTCTTTGTTTAGGGCTTCGGGGCTTTCGGTGATTCCGCGGGGTGCTTCGTCGGGTTGGTGGAGAGCCTGGATTCGTTTGGATCTCCGTGGAGCGGCCATTTTGAGAGGGATAGATAGCCCGGCACCTTATGGTGAGATATGATGGAACATTCAGTTGTCATGGAATGGCAGTCTCTGGAATTATATACTCATACTTGTCACAATTCTCTGCGCAGCCGAGTACGAATCCGAGTCCAGAGCCCCCCCTCCCCAGCTGCCAGTAGGACAAAGAAACAAGCCAAAGGCCGATGAACAAAGAAGCAGTTTTCCGTGTGTTACAGGCGGCTGAGACAGACATTTTAGTGAGTGGCTGAGCAAACAATGTATCTTATTGACTGTATTGGTTGGATTGCATCGGGAGGGGGTCCAGGGAATAGATCAGACTGGCTTAAACAAGGAGCCCACAGACCATCCACCGAGCCTGACATTGCTATGGCATCCTTCTCCCTAGAATTGCTGAGAGGCAAACTAGAGGTAAAATAATTGGCTTCATAATCAATCGTGTCGAAAGGACAAAGCCACATGTCGATGGGTGCTTGGTTTGATGGGTTGGTTGATGTGTTGATCTCTTCAGTAGTCCAAGCTGTATTGGTACTAGCTATCTTGCACAAACAACTCAGGGCTCTCTTGTTTCCCTGTTAGTTTCGTCCCGTGCCATCTACACTTCTGACTTTCAATTGTCTATGACCTGTTGTGGAGAGACATCTGCAGTATGCCACTGACTCAAAGCATCCTCCCGTTGGCCATATGTCGGACCCCAAGTAGGGCTTCAGCTCCGAGGGGTGTCGTAGACTTAGAGTAGGTCGCCGTTTTGGGCCAGGTCAAGGATACTTACGGACTGTTTTTTATGCCTTGTGCCACGATGGAGGACACCATGACGGAACAATCCTGCACTTTTCCTGTCGACGTGAGCAATCATATTCATCATTAGACAGTAGATACTTGGTCTAGAATGCGATATATCGGATAATGGCAGACACGAATCATAGTGTCTGTGAATGCTGGAGATCTCAGGCCCCTTTGATAGCTCGCGTTTGGTATTGTCCAAGCTGCCCTGTTACCTCGCAAACCAAATACATACCCCCACGATCTCTCCCTCCGATCAAATCTCCATCTTCAGAGCTCATCGTATTCGTCACTCAAATTCATATCACATGGCGTCTTCTGGTATGGCTGCCGAGGAACAACACACTGACCGCCCAACTGTACTTGTCGGCTTGGATTTTGGTACCACGTGAGTTTGATGAGCACCCTCTCCTGAATTATTCACTTCTTTGACGCTTCTCTGGCTTACACATTTACAGATCTTCTTCAATTACCTATGCGTTCCCCGAGGCAGATGGCCAATTCCACCGTGGCCGTTGCCAAACCTATGAATCAAGTCTTTACGGATCCAAAGGAAAGAAAATCCCTACAAGATACCCAAAAGGGATATACAATGGTCCGAGATATGACGGCGAGTGGATAGAATGGTTCAAGCTGTCAATCCCACACAAGGATGACCTGCCCAAGGATGTCCGAGTTTCCGAAAAACTCGACAAATTGACAAAAGAACGCGAGGCGCTGGATGTTAGTGCCATCGATGTCTCCTCCAAGTACCTCGGAGAGCTCTGGAAACAGTTTCACCAGAAGGTAGCCAAGAATACCAACGTCGAGATTACCGTGACGGTTCCAGCCATCTGGCCCCCAGACGCCTGTGAGAGGCTGCTTCGAGCTCTTCGCCCCCGCTCTGCGAATATTCTCGGTCCAACCGTTCGTCTGGCACAGGAGCTTGCCACGGAGGCAGAGGCCGCTGCTATCGCTCTCTTGTCGGATTCGGCTAATACAGGCAACTTGGAGGTAGGGCAAACAAAGCCTCCCACAATTCGTTTAGCTTGAACACCATCTAAAACATCTGCCAGGGTTTGAACTTCAAAGCAAAGGACACAGTCATCATTTGTGACTGCGGCGGAGGAACCACAGTAAGTGACCTGACTGTTCCAACATACGTCTCTCGTCTTGACACTTGTCTCCTCGGCAGGACTTTATCTCCTATCTAGTGAAATCTATAAATCCCCTCAAGGTCAAGGGTATTGTCCCCAGCAAATGTATTTATGCTGGAGCGGCTCTCCTGGATGACGGCTTTATGGAGTTACTCAGGGCGAAGACTCTAGCAGAGCGTCCGTATACAGCACGCAAAAACATCAAGGACAAGGACTACAACAGGTTTGCGCACCGGATCTGGCACGGTAATCTGAAAGAAAAGCACTCGGTCGATATGGAAGACAAGATCTTCGACCTTCCTCTCATGTTCATTGGGAATCAGGTCAATGGGAGCACAATGACATTTACCGCGTAAGTAATATACGGGAGTTCCCTTTCTATTCTTTCGCGTTCCATTCCGGATTGGCCAAAGGCATCAGCTGATGATCACTCAAGAGGCGAAATCAACGGGGTGTTCGACCCCGTCGTGAACAAGATTGTAAACCTGATAGAAACAGAAATGGCGGCGGTCAAGGAACAGACGCAGGAACAGGCAACAGTGAGTGGTCTCCAGGCCGGATAGACGTGAAACTTGCTAATCTTGGGGTTTCCAGCATGTCGTTGTATCTGGGGGGTTTGGCCGTAACTGCTATCTCCGCCACAAGATAGAATGCAAGGTCAAAAGCGTATCTCCCTCGACCCATGTCAACCAGTACGGAGACGACACAGGGATAGTCCTCCCGTTCGCTTCTCGCGCTTTAGACTAACCAGTTTATTTAGATGGACTTCGGTAGCTCGAGGTGCCGTACTGCATGCCATTCAGACAAAGAGCAAGTCAACACCGTCGATTGTGCAGATCGAAGCTCGAGTCTCGGGGGAAAGCTATGGCGTAGGCATTGGCAAGGGCGGACCTATCCATTGGCTTGTCCGCTGGGTCAGTATCTCATTTATGCATGCGCTGGTGAAACCTTTGGCTGACTATCTACTCCCCAGGGCGATGAACTCTCCGCCGAGGGCCCCAACTCAAGGCCTGTTCCTTCAGAGGCAGTGCGTAGTTCTCCAGTCGGCCGCTGTTTTCTGGACTGGTATCGTGTCAAGGGGCCAGGTGCGAAAGCCGAAATTGTACGCCCCCTGTACTATGGGAATTCCGTGGGTGAGCCAGGCGATTTGCACTTCAACTTCGATTGGGACGGTACCAAGATGCACTACGTGCTTTATCAGGGGGACCAGCCACTTACGTTGACTCTCGGGGAAGAATATGATGCTTGACGGGTACTAGGAGGAATGGTCTGAACGCTGTATCGCGAGGTTTAGTGTCATGGAGTTGCTCGACCTGATTCGGTCTTTGGTGGTCAAGTAGCAGGATTGTCCAGGTGGAAGAAGAGGGCATCATGGCTGCCTCCTTTCTAGATACCAGAGCATTTGTAAAGTCTGCAGAAGATCCTATTAGCATCTGGAATCTTCGTAAATACGTGTCCAAGGATGCTGCAACTGTACAACCTGACCCGGAGAGCAAGAAGGCTCATGACGAGAAACAGAGGTGCCAGAATATCTTATCTAGAGTTAGTTGCCTATCTAGGTAGGTAGTCAGCTAAATCTATAGGTACTTGAGTTGTATGAAATTTCCCAAGTTCTTTTTGTCACTCCCGTCACGATAATCTCTGAGATCCCCTGTCTGGTTATTAATTGGCATCTTCAGTGTGGCGCTAACCTATCAAGCCACACTATTATCCAAATGCACAGCTCCATCTTAGCCTCGTCAAGCTTCACATTCACGCAACTCCATAAGTATACCTTACACCTTCTCCGACACAGTCCCAACTCACTTCACTGCCCTCTGTATCGCCTCACCCAAGCCAGCGCCTCCTTGCGCATCTCGCAGCGCCATGGCTACCGATACCCCAAAACTGCTCTGGAATCCTGATAACGTCAAGGATGTCGCAGAGTCGGTCGGCATCAGCTCTCTCAACGAAGAAGCGCTCAAGTGCCTGGCACAGGACGTCGAATACCGAATCGGCCAGGTGATCGTGGAGTCTCTGCGCTTCATGCGCGCCGCCCGCAGAACAACCCTCACCGTCAACGACATCTCCCTCGCGCTCAGGGCGCTCGACGTAGAGCCCCTCTACGGCTACGATTCTACGCGTCCGCTACGATACGGCGAGGCCAGTCTCGGACCTGGCCAGCCGCTGTTCTACATTGAGGATGAGGAGGTCGATTTTGAAAAGCTCATCAATGCGCCTCTGCCTAAGGTGCCGCGCGACATGGGCTTTACAGGTACGGTTTCTGGTTGACACACGATTCCATGCTAACGTCTTCAGCGCACTGGCTCGCCATCGAAGGTGTCCAGCCTTCCATCCCTCAGAACCCCACGACTTCCGAATCTCGATCGCAGGAACTCCTCCCCAAGGGGCCTGGTGCGAACCCTGCCTTGTCCGCCTTGGCAGGCAATGACAATGTCTCCATGAAACCATCTGTTAAGCACATTGTGAGCAAGGAGCTCATACTCTACTTTGACAAAATCCAGGCTGCTGTTCTCGACGACAATCCTGACGAAGAAGTGGTACGCCTACGGCAAGCCGCTCTCGGTTCCGTGAGAGACGACCCTGGTCTGCACCAGCTCATCCCATACTTCATCACCTTCATCATGGACCGAGTAACACACCACCTCGATGACACCTTTACTCTTAAGCAGATGATGGAGTTGACGAATGCTCTCATTGAGAACAAGAGCCTTTTCCTGGATCCCTACGCCAGTCCCCTGTCGGCGCCCGCTCTCACTTGTCTGATGGCGAGAAAATTGGGCACTGACGAAGGCACGGATGCTCTCAAGGAGCAGTATGACCTCCGACAGCTGGCTGCATCTCTGGTTGGACGAATTGCGCGCAAATATTCTGCTTCCAACACACTCCTACGACCCAAGTTGACGAGGACATGCCTCAAATACTTTCTCGACCCTACCAAACCCCCTGCGGTTCTCTACGGTGCCATCCACGGCCTTTTGGAAGCAGGAGGTCCAGAGGCAATCCGCGTGCTGGTGCTACGTAACTTGCAGACTTTTGACTCGGGGATCCTTCAGCCTCTGAAGGAAAAGGCAGAGGGTACAATGGACTACGAGATGCTGGTTCAGGGCATAGTACAAGCTGTGGCTTCGCTGGCAGATCATGTCGATTCAGACACCAACGGAGTCAATGGTGCTGCAAACGTCGAGACAGAGATATCCGAACTCAAGGACTTTATCGGACCCATCATTGGGGGAAAGATTGCATCTGCGGGTAATCGGAGACTGATCAGGACAATACTGGATGCTCGATTCTTGGATTAGAGAGTTGACACGTAATTTTCACGACAGGCGAATGGCGTTTGGTTGCGAATACCTCACGAGGTGTTGGTTAGAACAGGCTCAAGCATTTAAAGGCGCTTGTGTACAGATAATAAAATTGTTTGCTCAAAGTCAGGAATGCCCTCAGGCTAATACTCGTACACGAGTTTCTCATCCTTGCCGTACTCCTTCCCTTATCCATTGTATCATCCACTGCGAACCATGCCATCTAGGCCCTTCCGTCTTCTTCAATTTTGGTGTTCTATAGGAAAGCAACCAGGCCAATAGCTCCGAGGAAACTGGCAGCCCAGATGTACTTGTCGGCCTGGATAATAGTCGTCTTGGCGAAACCCTTGCCAGCGTCGTACAGGAGGTGCTTGAAGCCGCTGATGGCGTGGTAGACGAAGGGGAAGCCCAGCGTGAACTTGATACCGCCCTTGACAGCGAGGGGCAGACCAGCAGCGAAGCTGGCGATGCTTGCGCTCTCGAGGTGAAGTCCGACAAGAGGGGCGGCGAGGTAGGCGAGAGAGAAACCGTACATGGTCGCGGAGAGGGTGCAGCCGGTGATTCGGTTCCAGGCGGAGCTACCGAACCATGTCTGCTCGATCTTGTAGATGGCCAGATGGGGAGAGACGGGACGGTTGAGGCGCTGGTTGACGAGGATCTGGTGGCCGTCTTGCTGGGAGACTTTGGTAGAACCGACAGCGCTGCGAATGTCAGATGTGTGAGACTCAATTGATGCTGGGGACGTACCGTAGGGGGGAAGTGGTAGAGATTCCAGCAGCGAGAGCAGCCTTGGGAATGTTCTGGGCGAAGAAGGGCTTGGTCGCGCCTATAGAGCTGTTAGATTCGGAATATCGAGGCTCACGTTGCGAAAGTACCTTGACGAAGGGCGGCGACGCCAACACGTTGAGCGAGCATCGTGGCGGATTATGAGTATCTATCGATTTCGAAGAGAAAGGGTTCAGCCAAGGTCCGGTCAACGAGATCGTCAGCGTCGATGCTTCAAGGGCGAGATCCGTACAGTATCTGGGTATCAATGATGATGGCTTCCTATTCTCGAGATATCGGAACGGGCCTCCTCGGCTTCTCGGTCCAATCAGCCAATGGGATGATGTCAATTCCTCATCTCGGAACGCACGTGACCCACGCTCACGTGCATAGCTCGACTGACTAAGCAGGATCGTGAGTTATGTTAACGCGTTTTTTTTTTGTCGCGACTGGATTTTCCTTTCTTCTCCAGATAGACAAGAACGTTCGCCGCACGCTGTCTAGTGTAGAGAGTGGACAGCATTGTAGGCAGGGTCTTTGGACTCGAGAACAGTTCTTAGAAGAATATTGGGAAATTGGATCCGTCGTTAATCTCGACACCTAGTTTTCCCGTCTAGGTGTCGTTTCATTTTTGAGATCTACATTCTGATGCATATGTGCTTGTGATATTGACGCTCGAAGGTGTGTTAGAGTGTGCCCGTGATTATACTGCTTGTCGGTGACTGCGGTTGACGACTTGAGGTGCTCAACGTGAATGTCAATCGATTATGGCTATATGTACTGCTGAACACTGGACAATGACGGCGCTACATCTGAATATGCAAAGCCTGTCTTTGATGCCGTGTTCAAGGTATAAAGACATAAACCACAGCAATGTCATGGGAGTTGGGGTTTGTGTAACTGAACTGCGCAAGGACTCGCCATTCTGTTAGATAATTGCCGTCCTTGAAGAAGCATGCTCTCGAGTTCATCATAGCTCAGTTCATGTTGAAGCCAGAACAAAGAAAACGAAACTGACGTCAGGCTATGAAGAGACTGGGTGTTCCCGCTCACAATGCGATGACAATGCTCTGTTCTTGTAATGCTTGCAAATCGCCATGTTCACTGCTGTCACCTCACATGCCTTTAAACCCCTATATAACTTCATTCTCTTCTGACCCACCCCAACCCATCTGCCAAGTTCACAAACCAGATACTCACCAACAGGTATGTTCCTTTCCATCACAATCAAAATGGCTTCCCCTAGTACTCTCATGACCGTCACCTCTCCCACTGCCACTGCCACGGCCACACTCGATGCCCTGACACAGCACTACCACGGCAAGCCCAACCACTCCGACAAGATAGTCATCATTGGCTTGACAGTCGGCATGGTGGCTCTGTTTCTGCTATTCATTGCTCCGTGCTGTTGCATGCAGTATCTGGCTCATCGGCAGCAGAGGAGGGAGCAGAAAGCAAACGCCTGTATACGTGCTATATCAGCGGCGAGACGTAATACTGCGCGCGGGAATGGGCCAGCTACGGCACAGGTTTAGGTAAGTTATGGTGAGTGCTGGTTCATATTCAGGTAGGTTAGATAAAAGAGAAATTGACGTTGTTTGGGAATGGTTGTGAGTATGTGGCTGCCAGTGCCAGTGCCAGATATAGATGACATGTTTGCAGACGCGGGCATACATTGTTCAGCTTCGAACAACTACATGATCTTGTTTTGACCAAGTTCATTATGTCCTTCACTTGTCATTTGCTGCTCATGAACATATGAATATACAAAACATATTCACCTAATACATCGATCCGTTATAGTGTTTGCTCAGTAGTAGTGCATGTCACTATTTCGTATCCTTTAAACTTCCAACCATCCATTTGTGAACACTTTCGAGTCACCCAAGTGGCAGCCAAGAATCCTCCGTATACGCTTGCTAACAAAGTCAAGTCCTCTTGGTAAGCCATCCCCCTATCTCGCATCACCACTAACATCTCAGTCAACCGCAACAATGACAAACACCATCCACCGCCGCATGAGCGACACCAGTGTAGTCATCGCCATAGCCGTCAGCTGCGCCGCCATCGTTGTCATCTTCTTTGCAGCAATTTGTTTTTGCCACTGGCGCTCTCGTCCCAAATCACCTACTGGTACCCGCAGCCGCGACCACGACGATTCGGATGCCAACTCTGACGT